CGGGGGGGGGGGGATGGTTTCTCGGTGGTGTGGTGAGGGGGGGGGGGGGGAGCTCCTGGCTGCCTGAGCAAGGAAGATGTAAGAGCTTAAAGAATCTGCTTGATCAGTGATCCAGGCTTGGATGGTTTTAATAGTGCCTTGGTGACGATGGGAGATGCTCTTTAATTAGGTAAGGGAAGAACCAGTATGTGTGTGACCAGGCTGTTCCAGTACAAGGGTCCCAGCAGAACTGGAGGCCAGAAGGCAAAGATTAAGTGCAAGAGGTGAGAGCCGTTGAGTTGAGGCCAGAAGAGGAAGCTGGAGAAAAGGCCCATGGGCCCAACACGGTCCTACAGAAGAGGACAGCACAAGCCTGGGGCAGGAGAACAGCTTGCCCTTCCCCAGCCCACGCTGCCACCAAGGGGCCAGGAGCAGTGGGATGCTGCAGCCAGGGGGGCTTGGAAGGGGTTGAAATAGGATGATAATCATCTCCAGCAGCAAAGGCTTTCTACCCCACAGGCTCTTAGCTAGAAGCTAAGTTGGGGAGACAGAGCTGGGGGCAAGTCCCGCAAAGGCGCAATGAAGGCGACAGATGCAACAGAGCTACACGCAGCTGCCACCACTTTCTGTGGTCCAAAGCACCAGAGAATGCATCAGCTATGATGCCCAACCTTTATTTTTCTGGGCCTTGAGGGGAAAAAAAAAAAGCAGCAACTGAGGCTACAGAAGGGGGAAATATCCCCAAGAACAGGGGAAGCTTAACCTTGGGGCAAGTGGTAACGCTTCAACTGAACACCAGGGGTGGGTGCTCCATAAAAGGGGCAGCGGTGACTGGATCAGCCACTGCTGTTCAGATTAACAACATGAAGACAACGCTATGGTTTATTTAAACATAAATGCAATCTCTTAAAAAGAAACTGAAACCCCAGAGTCTAACCCTTGCCTTTGATGATGGAAGGGTAAGGTACTAAGAAAAGCTGATCAAAAAAACAAAAAGGCACTTAAAAATGGTCTTCAAATGAAAAGGATTTTGCACAAACCTGATGCCAGCCAAGTGGAGCTGCTCAGAGTTCGATGGCCACTTACACCTGGTCTCTAGAGCAAATTTCACAGTATATGAAGCACAGTAAGACACGAGACAGACAGACATCCCTTCCTTTCCTGCCTGTGCAGAGATGACCACTGCTCACAGCAAGAGGGAGAGATGCCCCCTCTCCCCTTTTTTTTTCCTGCTGTGTTTCCTGGTATAAGTGATCCATGAGTTTCCACATTAAAACCACACGCGGCAGGAACATCCCCCACCCCCAGAGGAACACGAAGCTAACTAGAAAAAGGCCAACGTGTGATGTGTAGGAGGAAGGAAAACAAAAAGCTTACAGGTACACATCAGAGTCAGACGCTGATAACCAGGCCCGAGTTGGCGCGGGTGGCTCGCCCCAAGCACTGGCTACCACACGCTGCGGGTTAAAAGACAGCTCTGAAATCTACGGGGCGAGTTTTTGCTGTTAGCTCGTTCAGAGTGCAACGTGAGCAGAAAGGGTTAAAAAAAAAGATTCGGCAAAACCTTTTCCCTCCCCGCACCACCCCGAGTAAACTACACAGTAGTCCATTAAGCGGCAACTTTTAACCAGTCTTCCAAGCAAACCTTTCAATATGAAAAGGTGAGGAACACAGACACGGGGTGTTTCAAATCACTGCACACTGCACCAGAAAAGCTGCACAGGCAAAGCTTCGCTCACTGCCCCGTGCGACGTTCCAGCCGTCTTCTGAAGCTCAAAGAGATGGGAACATGCCCGTGAAACACATGCAAAGCCTCCAAGCGGCAGGAATTCTCGGTTTTATAGAGGGAGAGCTCAGCTGGGCGTTAGGGGGGAGGAGTGTCATCCAAAGCGAAAGAAAATGTTGGCTGTTGCTCTGCATTGAATGTCCTCCGTTAGATACATCTTGTGAAAATGCTAAGTTGAATGCGCCACGTGTAAGCACGGGCTCAGACATTCGCTAAGCTCCCCACCCTCCCCAATTAAGTTGCAAGCATGTGCTGATGACAGTTTGAT